GGCTTCTGATGCAATGACATCATAGTGTAAGTTCTGCTCAAGTCTGCTTTCATCACAGCTTTTCAAGCATTGCTCCTAAAGGCATCCACCAATAAACATCTATGAACAAATTTTTATGTCAGAATGTGTTTACTTGGAAACCTGACCCCAAGGTAGAAGGGAAGTATTATGGGAGAAAATGAACATCTCAGATACCTATTAATACAAGTGTAGCAGTTTACCAGGTGAAAAAAGCAGGGAAAAACTTTATAGAGAGAGACCAGTATATGCACATTTCTAGAAGAAAAAGAGAAAACCTATTTTGTTTTGTTTGCTCATTCGATCATGAAGCTTTGTTTAGAGTGTGAGTTGATTAGTAAAGAGACATGAGACTGAATTTTATAGCAAAATCTGAATTATTAAAGATAACCATGTAAGTCAGTATAATTTGTAGTAACTGTCTTGATGCTTGAATCTATCACTGGATCTGGTACATCTTAGCATTTTTATATAACATCTAGATTATTTTAAAAAGTATTAAAAAGGAGTGCAGATTTTGCTGAAAATATTATAGACTCAGAGAGTCTTTTTATTGCATACTGTACAACACAATTCAATAAGTTCTTTGACATGTTCTCATTTGTGGTAGTATTAAAATATACCAAAAATTAATTGAAATTTCTCCCATCAATAGGCAAATCTAATATTACTCCTCTTGAAGAGTCTGGAAGTAGTGATTCCTTAATAGAATATTGTAGAAGTTATTTTGTAGGGACCAGCAGTTGGCGTAATGGCTGTCACTGGACTCCCATGTAGTCGACCGCAGTTCAAGTCTCAGACCCGGTGGCTTAAACTTACGCCAGCTGCGTATGTGTGTGTGCCCAAGATCCCAAGAGGAGAATGGAGGAGAAGGGACTGCGGCATAGGCCATCCCCCCTGGGGGGTGATTTCTCGCTTTCTGTCTTTCTGTCTCTCTCTGTCTGTCTGGTGAGCGCACGCGCCCTATAGCAAAAACCTCTCCAAAAAAAAAAAAAAGGAAGTTATTTTGTAACTTCCCACACTGAGGTGAATCGCATCTACACGGACATACCGCTAGAGACTTAAAGAATAGCTGCTGTCTTTCTCTCTAGGATCAGTTGCTATGAGGAAGCAAGTCATGTTGTAAGGACATTCAGTGAGCCCTGTGGAGAGGCTCACCTAGAAAAAACCCACTATACTATAGCCAACTTGCCTGCTATGTAATCTATCTTGGGAGCATATTCTCTTGCCTCAGTCAAGCCTTCAGATGGTAATATCCCCTTCCCATATTCCCGACTCTCTAATTCCCACCACCTAGCTTCAACTACAGGTGGGGCTCCAGATGCTGTGGAGCTGATTTTGTAAGCCAGCTGTAGTATTCCCATCTGAATTTCTGATCCACAGAAACTATAGGAAAACAAATAACTATTTTATTAAATACTAAAATTTGGAATCATTTGTTTCATACTAGTGAATAACTAATGCACTCGAGACCCTCTAGTCATTCAAACTACTAACTAAGGAATCTCCTCAATCTTCCCCTTGTTTGTATCCATGAAGCATTCTTTGCTCAAGCTCTTTGAAAGATACATTCCTATTTTTGTCTTCCCTCTTGGCAAGGAATGGCTCATTTACCATATTCAATGCCTAGGTTTACACGGCTGGTAAATGGTTGTACTAAAATTAAAACCAGAGTTAATTGCTTATGCTCTGGACAACCTAGTGCAACTGAAGAACTTTAAACAAAGGAATGATTATTGTTATTCAACAACATAATGATGTCTTAGTAAAGAACATCACATAAGAAAAAGAACTAGGCATAAAAAGGTTAAATAAAGACAAACAGTAACTTTTATAGATGTAAAACTGTCTATATATGCATTTAGTGTTTCAATCCCCAACTTTAAAATCAACAGTAAGGATTTGCAAAACCCATTAGTTAATATGCTCATGAATAGGAAGACCAATTGTCTTGAATTCTTTTCCTTTTACATTTCCTGAAATATAAAGCTTTTGAATTTTATTTAGGTAATCTTGGTTGTGGTTGCAAAGTACAGGATCAATAGTTCCTATCTGACATACCTACATATATTTACAAAACATATCCAGAAATATCCCTTTTTTAATGAGAAAAGCGTTTCTAATATGGTTTTCTGTGTCAATGTTCTTTTTATAACTCCCATCTACCTTTATTAATTCTATTCCTAGATTATTACAGTAAAAGCATCTGTTCATTAAAAGCCTTTCTGGGGAACCAGTAGTTAGCGTAATGGCTATGTCGCTGGGCTCCCACGTAGTCAACCGCGGTTCGAGTCCCGGACCCGGTGGCTTAAAACTCAGGCCGGCGGGTCCTGCGCGGCCCCCCCGGGCCCAGTGCCAAGGCTGCGACTGGCGACGGGCCCCGCGCGGCCCCCCTCCGGGGCCCGCGCCGCCCCCCTCCGGGCCCCTCGCCAAGGCACACACACCCCTCCCCCGCTCTCCTGGGCGCACA